ACATTTATTTCCCAAAAACGCATTTTGTATATTTTTTAAGTGTTAAATTATAATTTGCGTTTTATTTTAAATAGAAAATAAGGTAAATAAATGGGGTTATTGTCCTAAATTATAAATACCAATGAGTATTGCTCTTAAAAACACAAACACAACAAACATTATATGTAGTGTACACTAACAAAATACCATTGTTGTTAATAAAGCGTATTTCATAAAATAATATTTGAGTTTTAGAGAGAATGTTAATTTAGTTTGGTTTATAATTAAAAAGTTAACTAATTGCAATTTTGGAAATGAAACTGGATAAAACATTGGGGAAATTGTAACTTAAAATTGGTGATAATAGGTTGAATAAGACAAATTAGTACCTGTATCTATTTGTGGGGTTTATATTTGTAAGTTACGTCTATTTGTGGGTCAATGGATTAATCAATTGCAAAACCCACAAATTATTATTTTGCTTAAAAACCTTGAATTAAAGAACACTTAAAAAATTAAATAGTTTTATTATAATCAAAATACTAAAATATCATTAAAATCTTTCGTTTTTTATGTATAAAATAATGAAAAAATAATTACTACATAATTCCGTGATAAACCCACAAATACAGTAAAAATTTTATCAGTGTGTGATTCCATTCATGTGTGACTCTATGGGTGTGTGGTTTTGACCTATCAATAGTGGTCAACACACCGATGGAATACAATGATTTCCCACATATTTGGCACAAAAAATAATGTCAATTGCAAATTTGTTTTTATTTTAACAGAGTAAAGACTTGGCAATAAAAACTTAAAAAAAGAAAAATAATCAAACAAAAATAAATTCAAAAAATAAGAAAAGAAAAGCAGAAAATGCTCCTCTCGAAATATTGAACTTTAAATGGTGATAAAAATTGCACCGACTTTCACAAGTTGTATACGTTGAATACGATATTTAACCCCCTAAAGAAGTCTAAAAAAGGCACACAAAGTTGCAATTTCTAGTTTTTCATTATAATATAAATAGTTTATTTTTTCGTTTTTTGATAAAATAATACGAAAATTAAAAATAATAAAATCAAACAATAATTAAGCAATAATTTGTTAAACTAAAACATCAATTAAAACATCACAATTAAAGGCTATCGCCTATTAATCATCAAAATTTTGTTTATGACCAAATGTAGTAATTAGTATTAATTCCAGCCGACTTCTAAAAGCTTGTAAAGAATTTGTTTATTTAAATTTATTTATTTAACACATAACAAATTAATTTAAACAATAGATACAAAAAAATTGATAAAGCAAATAACATACAAGTAACAAATAATCAAATAATAATTTTTTCAATATAGTAAAAATATAACTATGTGTGTATTATGCATAATAATATTAAAACAATGACAAAATAAAACAATAATTAATTAACAACACACACATTCGAAGGAGTCTTCAATAAAAGATGGACAAAAAATAGATCACAACTTTTATATACATCATTATTAAAAAACAGTAACGCGCCATTCTATTTTAATTAGTAAAACATTGTAAACTCCGGACACAAAGTCCGACGTATCGGACTTTCGGATTTGTTTTTCTGCTATTTTTTAAAATTTTTATTGAGATAATTAATGAATTATGTCAAGAAAAACGGGAAATGTGCTAAATGTTATGAGCATTTATAATTTTTATATTATTTTTGATGTGTTTTTTCTTCAATTGTTTTTTTGTTTATCCCACAAAAACGTTCATTAAAACATTCATTGTTTTTACAAATTATAAATAAAGTAACTACTTTGTTTTGATAAGTAAAAATAGTTTTTCAGCATTAATAAAAATATGAATTTTTGATTATAATTGTTGTTTAACAAAACAATAATTATAATACATTTTATTATAATTACAATAATTGATAAAAAGTGTTCCATTTACAACTGCCATTATTGTTATATATTTCTGTGATGAAACAATAATGTAATTTGCTTTGTCTTTTCATATTATTATTAAACAAATTCTATAATAAAGTAATAATGAAATGATTAAATATTATAAAAGTCAAATAAAAACAAGTGATAATTGTTAGTTTTTATTTTATAATAAAAAAGTATTTTTATTCCAATTAATATTTCAAATCACCTATATTTCATTTATAAAAACAAAATTAATCAATTATCATATATTTACAATTTTATAATTAATATTTTAATATTTTCAACATAACGAAAATAAAAATTGTTTTGTTACTTGTGGTGTTTTAATTAATTTCATGTGTTTCCATATAAAATTATGATACACTTTTTAGTTTCATTTAATAATAAAATTATAATTAAGTCGTGTTTTTCGTTGTTATTGTAAAAATCAACGAATTAAAAAAATAATTTTATATTAATTTTTTTAAATGTTATAATATTGATTAAATTTGAGATTTTTGTATAAAATTTGGGTATGAAATTAATTTTCGTGTTTTATAAACCAAAATATTTCATGATTTTGAATAAGGAAATTGTAGTGTAAGTAGAAAATTAAAAATTAAAAAATAAGACGCAAAAAATCGAAATAAGGGAAAATAATGATAAGTAAAACAGGTATAAATTTCGACAAAATATATTAATATCCCGAAAAGCAAAAGAAAAAATACTGTTATAACGTGTCGGACTTTATGG